ACAGATACAGACAGGCACATGGGCACGGACATGGACCGACACACGGACAGATAGAGTATGACGGACACATGGGCACAGGCAGACACACGGACACGGGCACAGACACACACACAGGCATGGACAGAGACACAGACCAGACGTGGGTACAGACAAACACAGGCACGGACAGACACATGGACACAGACACACGAGAGGCACGGACAGACACACAGACACCCACAGTCATGGGCATGGCTAGACACATGAACATGGACAGACACACGGACACAGGAACTCGGGTGTGCCTGTGGGGCTGTGCCCTCCCACAGGTGAGCACACCTGGGGCCCCAGCTCTGCTCGTACACAGGGGGGACACACAGGGGACACACACGGGACACACACAGGAGACACACCTGAGCACAGGGGACACCACAGGGGATACACACAGGTCACACACCTGAGCACACACACCTAAGCACACACAGGTCACACACAGGTCCCACACCTGAGCACACACAGGTCACACAGGGGACACATAGCACACACAACTGAGGCACCCAGGGCTCCTGCCCCGCGGGTGGCACGGGCACCGTGCCCCTGGCACCGCCAGCCGTGCCCACGCGTGCCTCCCCGCAGGGAAGGTGGTGTACGCAGAGACCACCACGGCGCACGCCACGCTCACCGGGCTGCACTACTACCACCAGGACTGGTTCCACGCCGCCGCCTACGTCACCGTGCCACCGCTGCGCCTCGACACCAACACCTCTGCCTACCTCATGAGCCTGCTCGCCAAGTGAGCCCTGCCCCGGGTGCCCCGACCTGCCCCCGGTGTGCCAACCTGCCCTGGGTACCCCAACCTGCCCCGGGTGTGCCAACCTGCCCTGGGTACCCCAACCTGCCCCGGGTGTGCCAACCTGCCCCGGGGTGTGCCAACCTGCCCTGGGTACCCAAACCCGCCCCGGGTGTGCCAACCTGCCCCGGGTGTGCCAACCCTGCCCCGGGTGTGCCAACCTGCCCTGGGTACCCCAACCTGCCCCGGGTGTGCCAACCTGCCCTGGGTACCCCAACCTGCCCTGGGTACCCCAACCCTGCCCCGGGTGTGCCAACCTGCCCCGGGTGTGCCAACCTGCCCTGGGTACCCAACCTGCCCCCGGGTGTGCCAACCTGCCCCGGGTGTGCCAACCTGCCCTGGGTACCCCAACCTGCCCCGGGTGCCCCAACCTGCCCCAGGCTCCCCCTCCCTTGCCCCTGGTGACCCTCCCTGCCCCAGGACACTTCTCCCTGCCCCAGGCAACCCCATCCCTGCCCCGGGCATCCCCTCACTGCCCTGGGTATCCCTCCCTGCTCCAAGCACCCCTCCCTGACCCAGCCACCCCCTCCCTGGCCAAGGCACCTCTCCCTGCCTCGGGCACCCATGGTGTGGGTGCCCCATTCCCTGCGGTGCCCCATTCCCTGGACATCTTGCCTCCCTGTGTGCCCTGTTCTCCAAGCACCCCATGGTGTGGATACCCCATTCCCTGGACACTGACCTCCCTGGGAACCCATGGCAGGGGTTCCCCATTCCCTGAGTCCTGGGCTCCCCGGGCACCCCATGGCAGGGGTTCCCCATTCCCTGGGCCACCCCATGGCAGGGGTTCCCCATTCCCTGAGTCCCGGGCTCCTCCGGGCACCCCAAGCAGCCCTGGCAGTGCCACCCCCCAGCCTGCTGTGCCCCCACAGTGACACGTTGAACATCGTGGCCTCGGACCACCGGCCCTTCAGCCACCAAGCAGAAGGCCATGGGCAAGGAGGACTTCACCAAGATCCCCCACGGCGTCAGCGGGGGTGCAGGACCGCATGAACATCATCTGGGAGCGTGGCGTGGTCAGGGCTGGGCACGGGGCTGGTGCTGGGGCTCACAGGGGACCCTGCTGGATGGGACATCCCACCATGGGCTCTTCCCAAGGAGGCTGCCCAGAGCTGCCCTGGGCACGGGGCTGGTGCTGGGGCTCCCTGCTGGATGGGACATCCCACCATGGGCTGTTCCCCCCTGGCATGAGGGTGGTGGGCAAGGAGCTGCCCAGAGCTGGCCTGGGCATGGGGCTGGTGCTGGAGGCCCACAGGGACCCTGCTGGAAGGGACATCCCACCATGGGCTGTTCCCCCCCCTGGCACAAGAGGCAAGGAGCTCCCCAGAGCTGGCCTGGACACGGGGCTGGTTCTGGGGCTCCCTGCTGGATGGGACATCCCACCATGGGCTGTTCCCCCCTGGGATGAGGGCAAGGAGCTGCCCAGAGCTGGCCTGGTGAGGATCCTGACCCTGCAGCACACCTGGGTTTTTTGGGGGCCACTGGGGGTGACAGGGAGGCCCAGGGCCCCCACGTCCTGACCCCCGCTGCGGTGTCAGGTCGGGGGCAAGATGGACGAGAATCGCTTCGTGGCCGTGACCAGCTCCAACGCTGCCAAGATCCACAACCTGTACCCCCGCAAGGGCCGCATCATCCCCGGCGCCGACGCCGACGTCGTGGTCTGGGGACCCCGAGGCCACCAAGTAGGTGCAGCCTGTGACACATCCCGGCTGGAGGGTGACACTGGGGGGGTGACAGTGCCCCTCTCGGGGCTCCACAGGACCCCCATCTGCCACTGGAGGCACAGCGTGGAACAAAGAGGCCACAGCAGCAGCTCGGGCCTGGCACTGGGTTCCTTTATTTGGTGTCACACTCCCCGAGTCTCCGGGGTCCCGGGCAATGAGCAGCTTATAAAGGGGAGCAGGTCTCAGGGGAGGATGCAGTGTTCAGCTGATCAGGAGAACTGGGGGTGGAACACAAGGGCGTGGGATACAAGGGAGGAAAACTGCTTGGGACAGGAGGGGTTAACACCTGGATGGGGAGGAAGGGGTTTGAAGCTTGGCAGAAAAGTAGCAAAGAGATAAACCACAACCCGACTCAATTGAATAACAAAGACAGGTCTGTGTCACTCCAAAAGCAGGGGGGGAAAGCCCAGATAACTACCGAACAACAAATCGAACAATAACCCGTAAAATGAAAACACACTGCAACAGCAGCCCGGGCTGGGGCGGGGCTGGGGGCGGCTCCCGCGCCCCCCGTGCCCGTGCAGGCGGTGACAGCCCTGTCCCTGTGCCCAGGACGGTGTCTGCCAGCACGCAGGTGCAGGGCGGCGACATCAACCTGTACGAGAACATGCGGTGCCACGGCGTGCCCCTGGTCACCATCAGCCGCGGGCGCGTGGTCTACGAGAACGGCGTCTTCATGTGCGCCGAGGGCACGGGCAAGTTCTGCCCGCTGCGCTCCTTCCCCGACGTGGCCTACAAGAAACTGGTGCAGCGCGAGAAGGTACGGGACGGGGCCGTGCCAGGGCTGTGCTGTGCCAGAACGGTGCTGTGCCAGAGCAGTGCCAGAGCCGTGCCAGGGCTGTGCCAGAACGGTGCTGTGCCAGGGCTGTGCCATGGCTGGGCCAGAACAGTGGCTGTCCCAGGGCCGTGCCAGGGTTGTGCCAGAACAGTGCTGTGCCAAAGCCGTGCCACAGCAGTGCTGTGGCTGTGCCGTGGCCATGCCAGAACAGTGCCATGGTTGTGCCCTTGCTGTGCCAGAGCAGTGCTGTGGTTGCTGCCCATGCCAGAGCAGTGTCATGGCTGTGCCAGAACGGTTCTGTGGCTGTGGCAGAGCAGTGCCGGGGCTGTGCCATGGCTGTGCCAGAGCAGTGCTGTGGCTGTGCCATAGAGGTGCCATGGCTGTGCCGTAGAGGTGCCATGGCTGTGCCAGAGCAGTGTCCATGGCTGTGCCAGGGCGGGTGCTGTGGCTGTGTCATGGCTGTGCCGTGGTTGTGCCATAGCGTGCCATGGCCGTGCTGCAGCAATGCCACAGTGAGGGACAGGGCTGCACCATGCTGGCTGCTGGAGGGGACAGTGGCAGTGCCAGAGGAGGCTCTGTGCCAGGCGGGTGCCACGCTGTGCCAGGAGCACAGAGCAGGGTGCCTGCGGGTCACTGTGTGACACAGGACACTGCCCTGGTCCCTGCCAGCACAGTGGCACTGCAGAGGACACTTGTCCCCACCCGTGCGTGGCCCGTGGCCGTCCAAGGCACGTGTTGGCCACCAGGGGCTCACCGTGCCCCTGCCCAGGACCGTGCCCTTTGCTGGCTGTGCCAGGGCAGCCCCACAGCGACATCGGGACAGGGACACGCGATCCCCTGGGGCTGCCCTTGGTGACACCCGGGAGCTCTGGCCACCCAGTGCCCACGCTGTGGCTGTGGGGGACAGGCTGGGGACAGCGTGGGGTGATGCTGCCAGGGAAGGGGGCAGCTCACAGGAAGGCTTGGCCAGAGCTGGGGCGCTGCTCGGGAGCTCTGGGTGCCTGGGGGGGGCACAGGGCATTGCCATGGGTCTTGGCTTGGCTTGAATTGGCTTGATGTGGCTTGGCAGTGGCCTTGGCTTGGCTTGGCTTGGCTCGGTTTGGCTCGGCTTGCGTTGAGCTTGGCTCGGTTTGGCTCGGCTCTGCCGGGGGAAGGGGCGAGGGGCTGCTCTGCCAGGGCCACCCACCCCTCCCAGCCCCTGCCCTGCTCTGCTTTGCACCGGGAGCCCCCCAGCCCGCCCGAGCGCCCCCTCCCCATCCGCAGCCCCTTCCCCAGCCCCAGCATGGCCCGCCCCGCCTGGCCGATCCGCACCCCGCACCCGGTACCCCGCACCCGGTACCCGGGACCTCCCCGCAGCCCGGGCGCGGCTGACGCTCTCCCCCGCTCTCTCCGCTCTCTCCGCTCTCTCCCGCTCTCTCTCCTCTCCTCTCGCCTCCCGGCAGAGTTTGAAGCTGCGGGCTGTGGACCGCACCCCGTACCTGGGGGACGTGGCCGTGGTCGTGCATGCCGGCAAAAAAGAGACGGGGACGCCCCTGGCCGATACGCCCACCCGGCCGGCCACGCGACACGGGGGCATGAGGGACCTGCACGAGTCCAGCTTCAGCCTGTCCGGTAAGAGCGGGCCCCGGCCCCGGGGCCGGTCCGCAGCCCCCAGCCGGTGCCTCCCTGTCCGCCAGCCGGGCGCTTGTCACCCCCCCCGGGTGTCCCCATCGCCCCCCGCCACCCCCGGTGCCCCCGGTGCCACCGCAGGTGTCCCCGCCGTCCCTCCCTAGGGCTGTCCTGTCACCCCCTCCTCCTCCAGGCTGTCCCCGTCCCCCTGCAGGGCGCTCCCAGGGTACCCCAACACTCCCCAGGCCCCTCCCCAAACGCAGCCCCCGGGCAGGGGCCGTGGCAGAGCAGGGAGGTGCCCCCAGCCCCCGCAGCTGCAGCCCCCAGCCCGCGCCCCGCTCCAGGCACCGTCCGTCGTGTGGCTGCGCTGGGGGGGCTTGAGGGGCGGGCCAGGGGCTGTGCCGGCCGGGGGCACCGGGGGGGAACCGGGGGGCACCGGGGCTGTGCCGGCAGGGGGACCGGGGGGAACCGGGGCTGTGCCAGCCGAGGGCACCGGGGGGCACCAGGGCTGTGCGGCAGGGGGGACTGGGGGGAACCGGGGGGGCACTGGGGCTGTGCCAGCTTGGGGGGGCCGGGTCCGGGGGCTGTGCCAGCCGGGGGCACCGGGGAGCACCGGGGCTGTGTGGGAGGACGGGGCCCCTGCTGCCCCCCGGGCAGCCCCCTCCCCGCTGCCACCGGCGGCTCTGGTCCCCGGGCACGGCATGGGCACGGGGGGTCCTGAATGCCAGCACTGGTCACTGCTGGTCAGCTCCAGTCAGTTCCAGTCAATGCTGGTCACTCCTGGTCACTGTTGGTCAGTGCTGTCAGTAATTGGTCAGCACTGGTCAGTGCTAGGTCAGCTCTGGTCAGTTCTGGTCAGTGCCAGTCAGTGCTGGTCACTGCTGGTCAGAGCTGGTCACTGCTGGTCCGGAGCTGGTCACTACTGGTCAGTGTTGGTCAGTTCTGGTCAGTGCCAGTCAGTGCAAATCAGTATTGGTCAGTATTGGTCAATATTGGTCACTTCCAGTCAGTGCTGGTCACTATCTGTCAGTATTGGTCAGTGTTGGTCCATGCTGGTCAGTGCTGGTCAGTTCTGATCAGTATTGGTCAGTGCTGGTCAGTGCTGGTCAGTATTGGTCAGCTCTGGTCAGCTCTGGTCAGTGTTGGTCAGTATTGGTCAGTGCTGGTCAGTGCTGGTCAGTATTGGTCAGTGCTGGTCAGTATTGGTCAGTGCTGGTCAGTATTGGTCAGTGCTGGTCAGTGTTGGTCAGCCTCTGGTCAGTGTTGGTCAGTATTGGTCAGTGCTGGTCAGTATTGGTCAGTGCTGGTCAGTGCTGGTCAGTATTGGTCAGTTCTGGTCAGTATGGGTCAGTGCTGGTCAGTGCTGGTCAGTATGGTCAGTATTGGTCAGTATTGGTCAGTATTGGTCAGTGCTGGTCAGTATTGGTCAGTGCTGGTCAGTGTTGGCAGTATTGGCAGTGCTGGTCAGTGTTTGCCAGTATTGGTCAGTATTGGTCAGTATTGGTCAGTGCTGGTCAGTATTGGTCAGTGCTGGTCAATTCTGGTCAGTGTTGGTCAGCATTGGTCAGCGCTGGTCAGTTCTGGTCAGTATTGGTCAGTGCTGGTCAGTATTGGTCAGTGCTGGTCAATTCTGGTCAGTTCTGGTCAGTATTGGTCAGTATTGGTCAGTGCTGGTCAGCTTCTGGTCAGTCCCATGTGCAGCACAGCCACGGTGGGAGGGGAGGGCACGGAGCCCCCCCAGTCCCCGGGGTGCCGGGGGTCACACAGAGCCCCCATTCCCGGTCCGGGGTTCCGGGGGTCACACGGAGCCCCCCATCCTGGTCCCGGGGTGCCAGGGGTCACACCGGAGCCCCCATTCCCAGTCCCGGGGTTCCGGGGGTCACACGGAGCCCCCATTCCCGGTCCCGGGGTGCCGGGGGTCATAGGGAGCCCCCATTCCCATCCCGGGGTTCCGGGGGTCACACAGAGCCCCCATTCCTGGTCCCGGGGTGCCGGGGGTCACACAGAGCCCCCCATTCCCGGTCCCGAGGTGCCGGGGGTCTCACAAGCCCCCCATTCCCAGTCCCGGGGGGTCACGGGGCCGTTCCCAGCCACCCCCGGGGCCCCCTGTCCGACCGTCCGTGTGTCCGCAGGTTCTCAGATCGATGACCACGTTCCAAAACGAGCCTCGGCCCGGATTCTCGCTCCCCCCGGGGGCCGGTCGAGCGGCATCTGGTAGAGCCGGGGACGTGTCCCCCAAGTGAGCCACCGGGCGCCGCCGCCAGCGCCCCCGGGCCCCGGCTCCGGTGCGGCGGGGCTGCCCGGCCGCGGGCCCCGCGCTGCCGCTGCCGGCTGGGGCCGTGCCGGGGCGGGGCCGTGCGCGGGGGCCGCCGAGGGCCGGGGGCACTGGTGCCCCCCCCGGCCCTTTTCTGTTTGCACGTTGGATTTGGATCAGTGAATTTTTGACTTGTTTGTGCATCACGTGGAAATACTCTGAAGTGGTTTGTGTCACTAGCGTAGGGGAGACGCAGGGACCCCCCCTTCCTGCCCCAGCCCCGAACCCCGGCCCCGAGCCAGGACCCCATCTGATCCCATGGCAACCCCATCCTGATCCCAACATAACCCCATCCCGATCCCATGGGAACCCATCCTGATATCATCGGAACCCCATTCTGATCCCATCAGAGCCCCATCCTGATCCCATCGGAACCCCATCCTGATCCCATCCGAACCCATCCTGATCCCAACATAACCCCATCCTGATCCCATCGGAACCCATCCTGATATCATCGGAACCCCATCCTGATCCCATGGGAACCCCATCCTGATATCATCGGAACCCCATCCTGATCCCATCGGAACCCATCTGATCCCATGGGAACCCATCCTGATATCATCGGAACCCCATCCTGATCCCATGGCAAACCCATCCTGATCCCAACAGAGCCCCCATCCTGATCCCATCGGAACCCATCCTGATCCCATGGGATCCCCATCCTGATCCCATCAGAACCCATCCTGATCCCAACAGAACCCATCCTGATCCCAACATAACCCCATCCTGATCCCATGGGAACCCCATCCTGATCCCATGGGAATCCCATCCTGATCCCATCAGAACCCCATCCTGATCCCATCAGAACCCATCCTGATCCCATCAGAGCCCCATCCTGATCCCATGGGAACCCCATCCCGATCCCAACATAACCCCATCCTGATCCCATCAGAACCCATCCTGATCCCATGGGATCCCCATCCTGATCCCATCAGAACCCATCCTGATCCCATGGGAACCCCATCCCGATCCAACATAACCCATCCTGATCCCATGGGAACCCATCCTGATCCCATGGGAACCCCATCCTGATCCCAACATAACCCCATCCTGATCCCATCAGAACCCCATCCTGATCCCATCATACCCCATCCTGATCCCATCAGAACCCATCCTGATCCCGTTCCTGCCTCCCATCATCGCCACCTCTCTGTGCCCCCTTCCTGAATCCCATCTGCATCCCAACCCCATCTCCCCAGGCCCCCCATTCCCCATCTGTTCTCCCCATCCCTGACCCCCCATCTCCATCCTGACCCCATCCCAACCCCAGCCCCCCATTCCATCTCTCTGTCCCCCATCCCTGACCCCTGTCACCAGCCCCCTCTCCCTGACACCCCCATCTGCACCCCCATTTCTGCCCCCTCAAGACCCCAAAGCCTCTGTCCCTGTCCCCATCTCCATCCTTGACCCCTCCACCCCACTCCCGTCTCTCCGTCCCCCATCCCTGACCCCCCATCTCCATCCTGACCCCAACCTCAGCCCCTGACCCCCATTTCTGCCCCCCCCAAAGCTCTGTCCCTGCTCCCATGCCCATCCCTGCCCCTCCCCATCCCCACACAGGTCCCCTCCCGGGTCACCCTCCCTGCCAGGTGCGCTCCCATGTCCCCTCCCGGGTCACCCCCGCCATCTCCCCAGCCCTGTCCCCGGGTCCCTGTCCCGCGGTGCTGCGGGGGTGTCACAGCCCCTGCCCCCGTGTCCCCTGTCCCCCCGGGTCCCTGTCCCTGCGGGGGTATCCCCCGTGTCCCCTGTCCCCCCCTGGTCCCTGCGGGGGTGTCCCCCCGTGTCCCCTGTGCCCCCGTAGGTCCCTGTAGGTGTTCGGGGCGGTGGCCCCGGGGGGGTCCCGTGTCCCCGCGGTGCCACACGGCCGATGTAGGAACCGTTGTGTGCTCATTAAAGACCGTTCACAAGCCCCGCCTGCGCCTCTGGGGACAGGGGACAGCGGGAGGGACACCACGGACACTGCCTGGGGGTGAGGGACCCCCACTCTGCCACTGGGGACAGGAAGAGACCGGACATGGGGACACGGGGGGACACAGGGACACGGGGGGAGACATGGGGGACACGGGGACATGGGGGGACATGGGGGGGACATGGGGACACCGAAGGGATATGGGGACACAGGACATGGGGGGAGACGGACACAGGGGGGACCATGGGGACATGGGGGGACATGGAGGGGACAGAGGAACTTGGGGACACGGGGAGGCACGGGGAAATGGGGACAGCGGGGACAGGGGCAGACATGGGGACGCCGAGGGGATCATGGGGGGACATGGGGACATGGGGGAGAGAGAGGAACACAGAGGGGATAATGGGGACACAGGGACATGGGGTACAGAGGACGGGGGACAACCGGGGGACATGCAGGGACATGGGGGGAGACAGGGACCTTGGGGAATATGGGGGGACACAGGGACACAGAGGGGGCCCATGGGGACACAGGGAGGACATGCGTGGGGACAGGCGTGGAGATGGAACACAAGGGGACCCGGGGCATGCGTGAAGGTTTGGGGACACGTGTGGCACACGGGGACACGCATGGGGACATGGCCGGGAGACAAGGGGGGGGGGTCACAGAGCTGGCCCTGAGTCAGGGGTACCAACACGGGGGGTGCAGGGGGTGGGGGGCGCTGGGGTGTGGAGTGGGGCCGGGGGCTCTGGGTGTGTCACAGGGGTGTCACAGGGGTGTCACAGGGACACTTGGGGCTCAGGGGGCTCTGGGTGTGCCACAGGGGTGTCACAGGGACACTTGGGGCTCTGGGTGTGCCACAGGGGTGTCACAGGGACACTTGGGGCTCTGGGGGCTCTGGGGATGTCAGGGGGTGGGTCCCACAGGTCCCAGGGTCTTAGAGGGGTCTTGGGGGCTCCAGGTGGGGGCCCCAGGAAGAGAGTCCTGAAGGGTCACAGAACGGTCCTGAGGGTCCCCGAGGGCTCTGGGGATGTTTAGGGGGCTCTGGTGGGGATTGGGGGGGTCTGGGGGTGTCGGGGGGTCCCCGCGGGCTCTGGGGGTGCAGAAGTCGCCTCCCGCCACCAGGGGGCGGTGGTCGGGACCGTTGCCATGGCGACAGGGGCGCGGCCATGTCTGTTGTCATGGCGGAGGGGGCGTGACCATGCGCGTTGCCATGGCAGCAAAGAGGGGCGTGGCTCGGGCCAGTTGCGACGCCGAATGGGGCGTGGCCAACCCATTTTCAACGCGCAAAGCGGGCGTGGCCTTGCCCGTTGCCATGGCAGCGGGGGCGGAACAGGGCCGTTGGCACCGCCCGCGGGGGGGGGCGGCGCAGGCGCGGTCGGTCCGTGCGGTTCCGGCCCGGTCCCGGACCCGGTCCCGGAGCGGCGGAGCGGGGGCAGCGGAGCGGCGGCGGGCCCGCGGCCGAGCGGTGAGTGCAGCGGGGGCCGCCCTGGGCAGGGAGGGGAGCGGGCGGCGCTGCTGCCATCCGCCGCATCCCCGCACCGGCCGCCGCCGCCCGGCAGCACCGGCCGGGGGGGCCGCGGGGCCTTGGGGATGGAGCGGCGGGGCCGGGCCGGGAACGGGGCTGGAGGAGTGAGGCCAGAGGGGCGAGGGGCATGGGGCGTGCCGAGGTGAGGGGGGGCCGGTTCGTGCGGTAACGCCGGGGATGGAGCGGTTGGAGCCGGGCCGCGAACGGGTCCGGGCCGAGCGGCGGGGCCGAGAGGTCCCGCGGGGCCGGTGGCGGCCAGGCCCGGCCTGACTCAGCGGCGGCCGCTCCTGCGTCCCGGCCGCGGCTACCCGCGGGCCCGTGGGCACGGCACGGAACGGCCTCAGCACGGCACGGCACGGCACCGGTACGGCATGCCGGAGCTGCAGTATCCGCTCCGGCCCCGCGCAGCACCGGGCATCGCTGCCGGTACCGGGCATCACCCGGAGACCCTGCGGGACGCGGGCCGCCGCCGCTCGGGGCGCTGCGCGTGCCGCCAGTCCCGTCCCGCGGGCGATGGCGCCGTGGCGGTCCGGAGCGGCAGGTGGCTGTCACCGTGACACCCCGAGCGTGACACACCGAGCGTGACACACCGAGCGTGACGCGCTCCCGGTCCTCGCACTCATGGCGGCCCGGCCCACCGGTACGGCCGTGTCCCCGGTACGGGCCGTGTCCCCGGTACGCCGGTGTCCCCGGTGAGGTGACGCTGTCAGGGACGCGCGCGTGTCGGGACGGCCCGGTGCCCTTCTCTGCGCTCCCCCGCCACTCCCGGGGATATCCAGACCCATCTCCCGTCGGGATCTTCCCGAGCGGCTCCTCCCGCCGCCGGCCGGGCCGCAGCCCCGGTCTCTGACACCCCGCAGGGTCCCGGGACTCCCGGGGATGTCCTGAGCGCGCACGGTGCGGTCCCTTTGGGGACACTTTGGGGACAGCCCTGCCCGGCGGCGTGTCCCGGGCACGCTGTCCCGGCCGGGATGCCAGCGTGGTTCCCCGCCCGGCCCGGCCTCGGCTCGGCTCGGGCCCGGCTCGGCTCGCCCCGCTCGGCTCGGCCCGTCCCGGCCCGGCTCGGCCTCGGCCCGTCCCGGCTCATTTCGCTCGGCTCGGCTCGGCTCGGCTCGGCCGCTCATCCCGCGGCATTAATATTTCAGGAGCGGGGGGGAGGGCCGCGCTCTGCACATGCTCCCGCCGCCGCCGTACCGAGTTATTTAGGTTAGCGGGAGCCGAGCGCGGCGGGGGGATTGGGGCGGGCGGGGCATCGCCGCCGGGAGCCGCCAGGCCGCTCCCGGTGCCTGAACGGCCGCCGTGCCTCGCCGCGGGCCGGGACGGGCGCTGCCGCCGCCGGGAACCGGGGAAGGGTGCCGGGGCCGGAGCCGGTACGGAGCTGGGGATGGAGCCGGAGCGGAGCTGGGCGCTGCCGGTCCCCGGCCAACCCAGCCGTGCCCACCGGAGCGCGGGGATGCCTCCGCTCGGGGTGGGGGGAAGCGGCTCCGGGG